TAACTTTACACCAGTAGATTGCTGGAACAAATGGACACCAAGGAATTCAACTGCCTGGAAACTTCCACCCTAAATAACAGTCTGCCCTAAAAAACAGAAAAATCTAAAACATGCTTCACAACATACTTCAAAATATGACCGCTCAATGTGCTGGATTGGAAGATTAGCACACATGAAAAAAAGCCAACAGAAGACAATAAATTATACATAATTATTTTAGCTCCAATTGAAGACAGTACAATTACTACGGAAATGGAACATTACTACATCGAAGCCAAGATGGTACGCAAACTTGTAATAAACAAAACATAACTGCTGTCATCATGACTTCAAGGTAGCGCAGCCCGTAACACTTTGAAGCAGCACCATGGTGTGACCTTTTTAATAAGCATAATGTCACTTTATATGGTGCAGTGTTTCATGAGAGGTGATGGTTTTATAGGTCGTCACATAGCCAATGGGCAAATGCTTTGTGAAGGGATATGTAAATGAGGGTCACAATGCCTAAATTTGCCAATGTGGCAGAAATCCAGTGTGCAATGATGATCAAAATAAAGCAGCAGGAAGCAGCTTCAGGGGTTAAGAAAAAAATTAAGTTGATTAGATTCTTAAGTTTGGAAGGAAGTGCTTTAAGGAATTGAGCAGTAGGAAAATTTGAACAGAAAGGAAGCAACCGACAAAAGTGTGCTAAGCTTCCATATCATGCACATTAAGTCACCAAAGCACTTCGCATTATGGCAAAAGAAAACTTCCTCAACGTTAAATATTTAGTAAGAAAACCTTAAAGACAAGACTGCAATATACATTTATTTCCTTAAAATGTGAAATAACATATAATTCATCATTGCGTATTATGTTTAATCTGTTGGAAGCCATACAGAAATTTGGCATTTAATGTAAAAATAAATGAAAATATTAGAAATATATTAGAAATGCTATATTAGAAATGCGGTTCTTTATACATAGTTCTTACATCATTATTCTGTACAATTATTCTCTTTAAAAAGGACCAGAAAGTGCTGGCAAAAAACATTTCCCAGGTAACCATGCTGTAGAATTCCTAAATGTTATTTCCTTTTGTCTGATGTGGTGTTTCAAGCAGATGGCTTCCCTGTGGATTCTCTTCAGAAGAGTCTTACAGAAGAATTATTGATCATAAGAAACAATCCTAAAGTTTTAGAGAAATGCTTGCAGGTAAATGTCTAGAGAATTTGAAAATATCAAAAGAAATGGGGATAGCAGGCCATAGGCAGGATATGTTCCTATTTCCCCAAACGTTCTCAACATTTTTTATCATTATGGACTGCTTCCTTCCAAAGTATTTTGATACTATGTTACAGTTTTGCTCTTCTTACTTTCATGCAAATGTTGCTATAAATGTCACTGAAAGACAGTGATAATATCTGCTCTATTGTACCACTTAAAAAAATAATATTGATTATAATATTTTCTGTGGTAAAAAGTTACCTTTTATTGAATTGTTCACAGTAAACCTTCAAAATATGTTTCAATTTTCATTATGACAAGAAACTGTGACAATAAAAAAGACATAACAGTAAATGTCAATTCCAAAACAAGCAAGATTTTCCCGTTTTCATTATTGTTGCCGCCCTGCTGAAAACCAAGCATTCATTTTTATTTGATTGGAAAGAACTGATAGTACATGCAAACGATGCTGTCACAGAAATATTTTACATCTCTTTATATTGAACACCTCACTTGCAACAGCTATCTGCAAAACAACACATGGTAGTTGTGATATTAACATTTCAACTACGCCTGCTATCACCTCCTGTCACCATAAAATACCAGGATATAATATTCATCACTATTAAATGAATATATTATAGTGAAAGTTAACTGTAAATCACTGAGGCACTGGACATTTCCTTTGTGACCTGTCATCATAACAAAAATACAAACTACAGTACAGAAATAAAATATCATCTGAGGGTGACTCTCCCATACTGACAATCCTACAGAAGCTACTAACGACAGGTGAATATTATTTGAATTCTGGTCTCCAGGGAGAGCCGTTTTACAGAGCATATTAACTAAGAAAGAATATAAAAAATGTTATGAAACTACATTCTTGGGCAGCTTTAGAAAAACCTATTCAGCCCTGCCTTGTTCTTCTTTGAATTCGTGACTCATGAGTTAAAGCCTGGTAACTTGAAAACATTATAATATTTGATAGAAACCCCAGAATCAGATGTGCCTTACCACTTAGGCAGCTAGAATCTGATTCAACATTTTCCAAAGGTTATAATACAACATCCACCTACACCCTTAACATTTAGCTTACCGACACGCCTTAGATAATGACTTCACCACCCTTTCCACCACACCCAGAGTTCGAGATCTCCAATATTTTCTTTTTTAAAAAGTCCAATGAAATACAGACAATAAAAATATACATATCAAAACCATGGTGAACTACTGCCCAATACATTTATCAGGTTGTTGGAGTTGCTTTTCCAAAAACATTTTTAATGTTAATTTCACTGCTTGTTGAGAGATATTGGTTTCTTTCACATCACACTAAGTCAAAGCAAAATGGAGAAATCTGACAAGTGAAAAACAAAGTTTTGCTTCTTGAAATGATTGTACTGTTTAGTAGAAGGTATGCACCAATGTGTGCTTCATTCGTATTAATTTTTGATGCAATCATATAATGGAAGTGACTGGAGTTTTAGTTATAGTAGTTGTTAAAAAAATCCCAACATAATGTAATCTACAGACATAATTTACAGCAAAAAGTAGTGTTGAGAAACATGATTATTGCCATTGTAAAACAGTCATAGGAAATTAGGACTAATACTTCAGTATGTTGTTACAAATGAATACACAATCTTTTTCAAAAGAGCTTGACCTAATTAGAATATTACTTCTCACCCAACCTGTTGTTTGACAGATTTTTGTATTCATCAGTCCTTAAAAGGAATTAATTTTACAATATCTAAAACAAAAACAAAACACTTGACTCAAAGAGCTAAATAAGAGAATATTATACACTTAGCAAAAAAAATAGCCATAAAACAGTTAAATAGTTTTTGCTCTTGATCAAATGTTACTAATTAAATGATTTGGTTTCCAGATCAAGAGACAAGAGAGATATTTTTTTACATTTGAAGATATGCTGTAACAAGTTGCTAGCAGTGTGATTTTAAAAGGTTTTTGCTCCAGAGAAAAAAAATTAAGATATCTGAAAGGTGTATATATGTTTGACAAGGCACAACATTGAAATGAAAAAGAAAAATCAACACCTTTCTTTACTTAAATAATTATTTTCTGTATATTGACTACAGCTTTTTAGCTATAAAAAAGATTGCAGTTTGTACTGAAGGAAAACCTGAAACCTACCTACAGGCAACAACCTACTATATGTATTTTACATTTTAATTGTGGAATGAAAAGCTGAACTCTACTTAGTCGTGTCATGTTTTTCTGTCACTGTCAGACTGTCTCTGTCGACCTCTTACTTTTGTAGATTCAAGCAGCTCCACTAATCATAACAGACAGCTATCATCATTTGCAGAGTAATACTGCAGCACCACTCTTGTTCATGGAGATGTACCACCCCTTGCTGATGTCTGCAAAGCATAACTACTCCTGAGACTACCATCTATATTACATCATCTCAATGCAGAATATGACAGCACTGCAATATACCAATGTTGCAGCTGATCTTTTATTGAGAGTTGGTATTTAATTAAGAGATTACATCTAGAGCATCTTTGCCTGAATAGGAGTTAAATTAAAACTGTTATAGAGAGGTTAGATTCTTGTACTGTTTTTAAAAGTAGCAGAACATTAAATAATACATTCGCAGTTTATACAGCCCACTATCTCTTTGTGCATAACAACACATAAACCCTGAGGGACAGTCATTGAGTCAGATGAATACTCAATTCTGTTTAATGAAGTAATAGCCCCAAATGCTTTTCAATATAGTTTAATGGCTATAAAAAAACATCTGTGCACCACAATGCTCAGAAGGAGTATTTTAACAATTCAAATACCAGAACATAATGTAACAACCTTTACAGATACTTTTTTCTTGCATAGTTTAAATGACACCTGGAAGAATGCTAACCCCAAAATGATGAAGATTTTTGAAGATTTAATCCTCTAGCCTACAAATAAAGTGTCCTCAATTAATTCTATCGTGTAATGTTTGTCAAACAATGTTTATCAAGTCCTGTCTCACTTATAGAAATACACCAAAACCTACTAAATTGTAGAGGTGAAACGTACATTTCAAAACCCTGGAATGTAGTACTGCAATGCACTTGGTCTTCAATACAGTTACAGCACACAATAAAATAACTGAAAATTCAGCTGTGACATCTAAATACAAAATGAGAATATTCCAAAGTATTACTGTGCAAATAAAGAAAGGCCTCACTTATAGTAATTTAACTGCAGTTCATAAACTTAAAAGTTTGCTTTTTGGAGGGAGGATTCAAACTTTTTTTTTTCTATTAGTCACAATCCTTAACCTTCATAATAATATTAAAACAAAGGTACTGAGTATCATTTTTTCCACCAAAAATTAACAACAAGGCATATACAGTATATATTTGCTTTGAAGACATATGTATATATTTAGAAAAACTAGCATTTGAATGTGAACGACAAACTAGTTGGTCTTTCACATACAGTATATGCTTTTAGCGCACACCTGCACTTCAAGAAACAGAAAGATGTAAAAGTAAATAAAACAGGCAAAATACATTGCCTGTTGGTTTTGCTCACTACATGATCTGCCAGGAAAATGAAAAACAGCAATACAGACGTGAGAGATGTTATAGAACGTCTCATCTTTTCTATTTATCAATACAGTCTTCTTTCCAAAACATTAAATAGCGAAATATTTCATTCATAAACATTTCTTGATTACCCATATGACCTCATGAGAATGATCTAATAATTTAGAATAATAGGCCAATTATTACCACTTATAATTGAGTAAGGGAAAAAGAAAGTGCATGTCCTACCCGCAGAAGTGACTGTGATTCCTCCTTAGATTTGCTGTCACCTGTCGTCGAATACTGAGGAGTCAGATGACCAGGTTTTTCTCCACTGCCTGTTGGTGTCCCCTGTAGAAAGCTTTTAGACTCCCCAGTCAACCCAAAGACAATGTTAGGGGTATCCCTGATCATGGGCTTCTGTTGCTCCTGGTTTACAGAAACCGTAGTGAGCAAGCCTAAGGCACCCTGCCCATACGATGGACTTCCCCTTAAGATATCCATGCCTCTTTCTTTGGGAACCCATACAATGCCACGTGCTTGGTCGCCAGAGGACTCCCCCCAGCCTTTCTCCCTGAGCACTTCCTTATCTTCTAGCGTTTCTCTCTTCACTGCGCTGTCTCCAGCCGGGTCAGGTGGTCTCTGTTCTGGATGCATCAGGCTGTATAACTTCAAGTCGCTCTTGGACTCTTCCTTGATGCTCAAGTTACTGGTAAGGCTGCACCCGTTGGCTGTGGCCACGTCCATCTCCTGGCAGTGAACGGTGTTGAAATGTTCAAGCAGGGCCTGGGTATCCACTGCAGTAAAACTGCAGTTGCGGCACTTGCAGCAGTTGTGCACCCTCCTAAACAGAAGAGACAGAGATTACAGACATGTTCATGTTTGTCAGCTGTGATCTGGCAGTCCGGCACTCTATGCTGTACAAAGGAGATCGCCAAAAGGTTTCAGACTTTTTTATTTGAGGATTCTGCGCAGAAAGAAAAAAAAAAGAAAAAAAAATAGTTTCTTTCCCCTTCCTAAACCTCTTTAGGAACTATGTGCAATGGAAAAACTTTACAGGTACATTCACAGACATTCACAGACCAGATGTGCCTGTTAATTTAACTGTAAGTTGCTTATTGGTTTCAATTGCGAAATACCATTGGTATCTCAAAAAATAATTTTCAATGGTATACACATTCTCCAAAAATGTAAGTAAATAATTAGATTTTATTCAAAGATACACAGTTCATGACCACTTCTGGCAAATCAAACAAATGACAATGAAATGCATAACTGTTTCTAAACCAAATTATTTTTTTTTCTCCTTTTAATCATTGAAATTCTTATGTTTTCTAAACAGATAAAGACTTTCTAGTGCTTTGTTTTTTTTTCCCATTTTTGATAATGTTTCTGAGAATAGGACTTAGAAGTAAGACTAGATTCAGTACAGTTAATAATACATTTTATAAATATATAATGCAGAAATCACTGATGTGAAACAAGCTCGGGGACTGCTGAAATTGGCGATGAGAGACAAAGCAATTATTTTGGGAAGGATGGGCTTAAATACTGTATTTATACCTAAGCAGAAGCAAATGATTGGCTTTCACTGATCTGTCCCTGTTGATAAAGTAAGTACTTGAATTGATTGACTGCTCAGTTCAGAGTTTATCCTGCTTTCTGTAGCTGTAAGCATACTCAACACAAAACTTCCCCACAGAATAGGAAGTGATCAACTTTGCTTATCAACTCCAATGGTAATGCAGCAGCTTGGTCTGGTCCGTAGGTTTAGGTTTTGCCAAAATTAGAAAAGGGTGGTAATAGTGCTTTAAAGTAAAAAAACACCAAACACCAAAAAAAAAACAAAAAGTAAGTAGCAACATTCCATTCTTCATTCCATTCACAAAGTATAGTTTTCCAAGATACAAAAACAAGTAACGCTGTAATGTGAACTGCATAAAGCAATGCAAAAATGTCTGCTCAAGCCTCTTTAACATGTTCAGAAATAATCATTAAACACCAAATCCACTGTTTCTGACCACCTATTCAAGGTAGCAATAATACAATTTTGATGTCGGTTTACTTCTAACAGTCCTTTAAACTTGCAATTAGTATTTCTAAAACATGCCTCTATTTTTAATTAATTACCATCTTGTGATGTTCACCAAATCTAATTTTAGCACTATGGAGGAAACTGATTGAGTTACTCAGTTAAGAAGGTCTTTGCCTTTCTTAGATATGCTATCATAAACATTAAGACCACTGGCTTGTTTAATTCAGCAAGTAACATTGGGTAAACAATGAACCTGTTAGAACAGCTAACTTAATCAGTGTGCTACTTTTTTCCCCCCATACCTCTTTCACTGAAATAAAAAGTTTCTTGATCTCAAAGCACAGCACAAACAAAACTCCTAATCAAGAGGCTTTCACTGCAGTACACTTAGGAAAAAGATAACCCCAATTGTTTTCCATTCCCATCTATCCATCCATACATGCATGCATGCATGTATCCATTTTCTAATGGCTTTATCTAATGCGGGGTAATGGGAGAGCCAGCACCTATCCTGGCAAGCAACAAGTATAAGGCAGAATTATACCCTGGATGTGATGCCAGCCCTCAACATGGTACACACAAATATAGACACTCACAACAGTGGGCCAATTTACGTACCAGTACGCCCTTGGACTGTAAGAGGAAACCAGAGCACAGAGAGGAAAACCATGTAAACACAGGGGGAACATACAAACTCCCTGCAGATAGAACCCCAGGAATTGACCCCAGGGCCCTAGGGCTGTGAAGCAAGCAATGTTTGCCACTATGCCACCATGACCATCCCCAATAATTTTGAACAAATCTATTCTATATTACGAGTTTCAAAATTTTAAAATGTACTGCAAAGATCTAATGCAAGATTTAAATTTGGATCAAATAGGGAATAATGCCTACTCACGTTGTTGTGACAACTGGAACAAAGTAATCCACAATCATCACCATGTTTGAAACTTAATAATAATTCCTGGACTTTTCATTCCAAAAAATCCCCCCAGTTTTTCAAACAGGAAGATAAGGCTCAAATGTGGCTAGTCAATGTGTGACCCTTCCAGTCCATCCCATTGCAGAGATTTGATACAAACAGCTGTTTAGTTGTTTTATTACTCCTTCTAATTATCAACAAAATAATTGAAAGGCTAGACTCAGCAAAACTGTGTAATGGATTGTTATTGGAGAGCTGAATAGTATTGGGCTGTAGGAAAGAAAGGCTGCTGAAACACTACTATTGAAAAAAACTAGTGGTCAAAAAAAACTATGAGTTATTACCCTGAGCACAAATAGAGAGTAAGAAATACTCAGCGGCTTTGTGACAAGTAGCTTATATTGATTGTCTGCATGTCATACTGGAATAGGTGTTTCATTAGTAAGCTACTGGAAGCAGGCTCAGTACAGTAAATAAACATCGTAGAGGAAGAGATGTGAATTTCAATTTTCGTAGCTAAACCTGTCATAGTAAATATAATTCTGATATGCTTCTGATTTATAAACTCTAATTTAGAAAGCATTATTTTGTGTAGGAATGCTAATTTACTTTAAAAAACTGGTTCTTTATGTCTGGTGACGTTAGCTTTTCCCGGTATCATTTTAAAATAACCTTTTTGAAGTCTGCTTAATTAAACTCTTTTTAAAGTTATCTTCTTGCCACATGTGGGATTTCGTTTTGATAAAGTGCCCTAATGTTTTGGATCTTTGCTTAGATGTTCATAAAAAATAGCTCTTTCCTAATAATAAAGTAAATTCTTTATTTTGTCGTGCATAAAATTCAAGGAAAAAATAGTCGTAACTTTGCTGTCCTTTTTGCTTTCTCTTGGATTAAATGCAGGAACACGCCACTGTGGCGAAAGAAAGTAGTAGAAATTAAATTGGACATGCTAATATGAAAAAATAACATTTAAATACAGCTGGTTCAGCCTGTGCTGCTGTGGAGGCTGACAGGAAATTATTGAGGCCTACAGAACCCTGATGGAGATCGACATTGTACATTAAACAACCAAAATCTAACTAAGCAACAAGACAGACACAAGAAGACATACTTTAAAATCGGCTTTTTTCCTCCTGACACAGACTGTTATGGGCTTCTGGAGTGCATTGCTAAGCTTCTGATTTATTAGGAACGTTCACGATCTAGCTGTATGAAGGTCTGCAGTCAAATAGCTACAAGAAGCAGGACTGCTATTTGTGGTCTCCGCCTGTGTTCTCATAAATTCAGACCAATACTGTTCTATTTATTTCCAATGACAGTCAACTCAAGTGAACAGACTCCAAACCAGCTTATAGTACAAGGTCCTCAGGAAACGGATTGGATGTTTGATAATTTTTACGTTTATTCCACACACTGAAGTACTGTATGAGTCTCAAAACAATATAATACAAATAAAAAAAATATTATTGTAAAACAGTACAAATGTTGATGGGAGTGAGGATTCAATATACTGCTGGGGAGATGGCTCAGCATGGAAATGTGTCAGCTGAGATTTAACTAATAATGTTTAAACATGCAGTATATAAGCAGTTACAAATACTGTAGGTACCAGGTGGAGTGCGGTACTATTAGAGTACCATAAAATGGTAAATATAGAAAAATGACACACAAAACAAACATCTCTATTACAGTGATACACAGTTTATATCTATTATGCTGAGGAATGCAGAGGTTTGTTGTCTATAATACCTGCAGCCAGCAGGTATATCACCCTGCAACTCACAACTGGCAGCCCCACTGAAGCTCAGCAGGTGTGAGGCTGGTCAGTACCTGGAAGCGAGGCCCTCTGGGAAAGCTAAGGTTGCTGCTAGAAAAGGTGTTAGTGGGACCAGTAAGGAGTGCTCACCCTGAGGTCTGTGTGGGTTATAATAGCCCAGTATAGTGACAGGGGCACCAAATGAGACGTTAAACAAAGGTCCTGACTCTCTGTAGTCCTTATAAAACCCATTTCTCATAAAGAATAGGTATTACCTTGGCATCCTAGCCAAATTTCTCCCTGTCCTTTACTAGTCATGGCCTCCTAATAATCGATGAAATTGCTTCATTACTCTGTTCTCCTCCCCACTAATAACTCGTGTGTGGTGAGTGTACTGCTGCACTTTGCCAGCTGCACAATGGTCCCCACTGCCTGTAGTGTGCTTTTAGTGGAGTGTCCAGAAAAGTTCTATATAAGGATTGTTATTATTCCTTTATACTTATAACAAAATGACATGTTAAGAAGTTTTAAAAGAGTTACATGTCTAAAGTAAACAGTAACATGATTTGAATGATTCCTACCAGCCAGCTACATGAAAAATGAATGGCAATATTTGTTGCAAACACTTTCCCAGGAATTGTACTTGTGAATCTTAGACATACTGTACCAAAAAAAAAACACATGGCTGGCTGTAGCCAGTCAACTGCATTATTTGTTAAGAGTATCTGATAGGAAAATCTTAAACAAGAACTTCTATAATGCAAGAGACCCCTTCACTAAATTTTAATGACTATTCTCAGGCTTACAGGTGCTCCAGACGTCACACAATAATAAGATTACTAGAATCTAAGGTGTTCCTGTGATATGCAATCCATACATGTCACCTCTTGGTCTGTCCGGCAAGAGAGAGAAAGGCACTGTATATACAAGCAAACACATAACATAGTTTTCTACCTTTCTCCTCCATAGTGAGTAAAGAGTGCACCATTGTATTGAATACCATTGCCATTTTGTATTTAACCCACTATTTTGAGTACATTTTCTAAATTGTTTGCTATAACCACTAAGGTAATTCGCGTCCTGGCCAAATTTCCCATTGGTCCTTTCCAATCATGGCCTCCTAATAATCCCCATCTATGAACTGCCTTCATTACTCTGCTCTCCCTCCCACTGATAGCTGATGTGTGGTGAGCGTTCTGGCGCACTGTGGTTGCCGTCGCATCATCCAGGTGGATGCTGCACATTGGTGGTAGTGGAGGGGAGACCCCATTACCTGTAAAGCGCTTTGAGTGGAGTGTCCAGAAAAGCGCTATATAAGTGTAAGCAATCATTATTATTATGTTATCGAGGAAAACTTAGTATTTTACATGAGACCTGGTAATATTTCACAAAATGTAACTATGGTATATATGGCGACATTATGAATTCTTTATTCTTCAAGTAATTGTTAAAAACTTACAGAATGACAGACATTCATATATAAGCATGTGACCACCCTTGATTTGGGGTTACTCCTAGCACATTAAATCATATTCAGTTTAATTCTTTTCTACATAGGGTTCACGATATGAACTAGAATTTATCATTGATTTTACAGGATTCTCTAGGTCTTAGAGAATTCCAAATATATTTCCATTTATATGTGTGATAGTAAGCATTGTCTTTTCTATTCTGCCTTTTCCTATAAAGTGTAAAATATTATATATACATATTACTATGCATTATTAATGCATTCGTATAATATGAACATGATATATAATATCAAAATATGCATTCATATTCTTCATTCATACATTTTAATTCCTCCACCTTAAAAATAATACTTTTAGTTTAGCTCTACTTTCTTCAAGAATCACCCCTACAGTGCCTCTAGTGTATGAGTTCCAATGGTCTCATTATTTATAAAATAGCTTGTTAATAACCTTTCTTCTAGCTATTAACTGAAGTTGGGAGGTATGGTTTTCCATTTTACATTATCTTTCACCTTGTTTAACTGCTTATGTGAAACTTTATATACCCAACTGGTTTTATGAGCAATATTATAGTTCTATTATAACTGTAATATAAAAAGCCACTATGACACAGCATATAGCTAATTTCTACCAAAATGTTATTTTAATCCCACCAACATGTAAAAAATGTCCAACCTGAAAATACAGCATATTATACATTTTATTTGACAGTGGGATGACCAGCTATGTTTTTATTTTAACTGGTTGTACTTATTGCTCAGTTCAGTTTTACACAAATATTTCTGGAGCACATACAAACCACCTGCTACTCATATACTGTACAGTAAAATATTAAACCTATAAAGAACATCCAGGGAGCAAGAAATTAGTGAAGCATTATAATAAACAATTTCAATAATAAGTTAAACGAAAATTAAAGAAAAAACATGCTTCATTTTTGTCTATATTATGGAATAAACCATGGCACCAATTAGAGGTCAAGTGGTCTTCTTGCATATCATTTGTTATGATAATTCATATTATCAAGATAACATCCGAAAGCTAGTCATTTAACTACATCCCCTTGGAGTGGAGAAGCTACAAAAGATGTTAAAACACAAGATAACTGAAGAAAAAGGAAGACATTTTTCACCTCACCTGTAGTGACGAAATATTTCCTCCTCAACCTCTGTAACAAAATCGCACTTGGAGCAAGAATGCTCCTTATTTTCTTTCACTGGCAACTGTCCCTGTTCAATCCCAGGATGCTCATCTTCAGGCTTGACTTCCATTGCCATCTGGGAGTTGTGCATGTTCTCATAATGAAGCAAAAGCACATCGACATCATGCGCTGAAAAGGAGCACTGATCACACAGGTGCTTAACTTTGGCTCTCCCTGCCACACCAGGAGACAACTGCAACAGCAAAAGGGCACAATGGGAACAATTACTTTTCCTGCAGGCAAAGGGGTAGGTAATTTCCCCCATGTGCTTCTCAGGATTACACAGGCCTCTTGGGCAGAACTGGCAATGCTTAATTGTACATTTGTGGATGTTGTGCACCTGTTGATAGTGACGCAAAAGAGGCCCAATGACAATCACATCTGGACCATGGCTCATGGAATAACGAAAATCACAGAACTGACAATTGTAGCTTGTCACCACTGTGTCCTCGATTGCTGTATTGCTCATGGCCTCTTTTGTATTTGCTGGGGCAAGCACATCGCCGTCGGGATTTTTACTGACATCACTTTGGATCATCGGCTCTTCTCTTAAGATCTTCTCACCGCCTTCTTTGTTGGGGCTCACTGCCTGACAGTGTTTTTTGTTGTAATGTTCTAATAACCGTAGTGTGGTGGATGATTCACAGCTGAAGCTGCAGAACTTGCACCAGTAGTAGCTGGTGTTATCCGTACTATTTTGTCCAGGGGATTCCATAGACCTGATTGGGACAGAATAACCCACAATGGTGTCATCCTCTGCTCGGATAGTAATTCGGTCTGGCCATTTCCCAATCTCGCCTGGTTCCACAGAGCGAGGCAAACAGTTAGCTTTGCCAGAGTTTCTCTCTGACAATTTACTGCAGTCTCTTGACATGTCGGAGTTTCCTTGATGCGTCTTTATCTTGTTTGGATGGGTGGCTAAAAAGTGCTGCTCTAATTCTGATGAAGAGCTGCCCATATAGGTGAAATTACAGAACTTGCATCGGAAGTACTTGGTGTTGCCTTGACAGTCTGGCGTTTTCCGTCCAATTCCAATGAAAGTACCTCCCAAAGTAACCTGCAAAAAAAAAAAAAATTAGTCACACAACATGCAGGTTTGGCCTTGAAATGAAAAATTATGCATTTCCATATGGGGTGGTAGAGTGGCAGAAGCCAGAGTTGGCTTCTGAGAAAAGTCTCTGGTGTACATGTGTGTGCCAGCGTGCGCCCTGTGATGGACTGGCGTCCCATCCAGGGTGTATCCTGCCTTGGGCCCATTGCTTGCTGGGATAGGCTCTGGCTCCCCCCAGCCATAAATCAGATGAAGCAGGTAAAAAATGGATGGACACGCAAACATTGTTTCAGACTTTTCTTAGTCTATTCTTACACATAATATTCATATATAAATACAGTTGGTGCCAATATATTCATAACCTTGATAATATGTGACAAAGGTGGTTTAACCTAAAGAAAATGAAGGTATGCATTCAATATTTTTCCAATTTTGTGCCACAAGGCTATTGGTGTTGGATATCACAAAAATATGTACAAACATCTCTTCAGAGCCAGCAAATGTGTTTAAAATAATGCTTTTTGGTCAACTTATAGTTTCACAAGGTCTCAGGTTATTAGCAGAAGCTTCTGGAAGCCACCTTCATTACTACTGCATATTGAAAGAGGCTGAACACAGAACCAACACACTGTCATCGTTAAAAACAGTTCAGAGAATTTGAGCACAGGTCTAAAGTAAGATTATTGACCTCAACAGCTCTAGTTACAGCTATAACATTTCACAAGAGAACCCAGTTTCAACCATGATTTCCATCATCCAGACATTCAACGTTCATGGGATGGTTGATATCCAGGAAAAGGACTTAAAAACATTCTTCCTACTTGTGAGATGATAAAGGTGGCTTGGGAAGCTAACTCACACCTAATAGCAAGAAGTGAATCTTTAAAAACTCGAACACATGATACAGTATTTTATCTCTAAGTATCAATGAATGAGTGCAAGACATGGTGACGCACAAACTGAGTTTTTGGACAGTCTCCTTTTTGGTAATATTTACACGTAAAGGTAATATTCTTGTTTAAAAGGAATACAAAATCTTCACAATGTATGGGACATGTTTTGTATTCCTGATTTTTTGTTTTGGAGCTTTTTGTGTACTCTGATCCTAGTGCCCAGTTGGAAATTGAGGGATAGATGGATTCCAAAGAGTATCGGGATATTTTATCTAAAAACCTCTTAGTTTTGGACTTTTCAGAAGAATAATGACCTGAAGTTCACCTCTAAACTTACTGCAAAAGGGTTAAAGGAGCATTAAATGAACTTTTGTGATTTTGATCCTCGTTCATCACAATCTTCAGTACCCAGTCCAATAAAACATCATTTTTTAAGTTTTTTTATTACCAATAAAAAGCTTGTTTTACGAACTAACTAAAGCAGTTTGCAAGCACAACCCACTTAATTTAAAGAAAATGGAGAAGATATGTATGGAATAATGTTCATACAGTATATCCCTACAGAGAAGTGTTCCAACCTACAAAAAGGCTACAAGAAGCACCTTCTTTGTTTTCTTAAAGCCAAAGAACAAAATACCGATCGCTGAGCTGTGGATAATGTTGAATTAATATTTAGAAAATATATTTTATGACAAAAACACCATAAATTGCTCTGCACCATATTAAAGGCACACACAAAAAATAAGGAAAATTACTAACTAAGAAAACAGAGTATAAAGATAAATCACAAGCCTTTCTGATTTCACTTGGAATGGTGTTCCAGAGCATTGGGGCTTTGCAGCAAAAGGCTCAGTCACTCATACAGTCTAGTAGAGGAACAGTGATAACATACAGTACCCAGTACCAGCTGTGGGAAGTTCAGGTGAGGGAGAGTAAACAGATAACAGATATTGTCTAGATACTGAAGAGTCATGTGTAAGAACTCAGAAGACAGAAGTTATGTGATTACTTGTGCACTGGCGTACCTTGGCAGGATTCTAGTTGCCAGTTTGTGAATACAGTATATTGCACAGTAACTAAAGTATACTTACAGTTTTATAATAAGTACAGTCCTTTACAAAACAATTTTTTTTTCTATTTACAGACAGAATCAGCATAGGATATTGCATGGCAATAATTTTATCATGGAAAAACAAAGTGTTTACAATTACCTTCATATGGGGTACAAAGGTAAATCCAGAAAGGAAGATTATCCTCAAATTTTAATTCTGAATTTAATCCAAAGCACAGCAATGTCAGCTGACAAGGTTAAAGCACCGGCTTTACAAAACTGATAAGAGAAACACAAAAACATTACCTCTGTCTAATCACAATTAAGATGTGAAAAAACAGCATTATCCAAGCTTTTAGATCAGACATGCAATCAGAAAACACTGAAGTAGCTACCATGGTGTCAAGATGAGTGTGGACATTGACTTGAGTATCATCTACATTCTGTAGAAATGGCTTCAGACTTTAATTTAAGTATGATCCCTGTGGAACATCAGATATAAGCAATCCAACCTCAGGACTTAACCCACATAGAGAAATACAATTTTAAGCCATTCAATGCCAAATAAGCTCTCCAACTGGGCAAAATGTCATGATTTACAGTATCAATTACAGCCCTGAGATGTATGAGAACTAAGATAGTGGAGCTCTATGACCCATTATGAGAAGATCATTAGCAGCTGTTGTAACATAAGTTTCATTGCTATATACAGTACTTGTCTGAAAATGTTTTTTTTAAGTGCAGTGCCTATTTACAGTAGGTGCACTGCAACAGTATGTGCTATTATCTTTGAAGAAAAGAACAGGTTAGATATGGGCTGAAAAATAATCCAATTATCCCTTACCATATTCGATTTTTATAGGACTGGCATCCGTGGAGGAGTTTTTTTTAAAATAAAAATTAGAATCATCAACAATTTTGTTTTACCCATCTGATTGGAAATGGTTTGTTGTGTTTCTTACATCCTGTCTCACAGCTACAAAATCCCATGAGAATGTTGTGCCAGATGTTATCAAGCTTAGATGTGAAAAATGTGCATAAATGACATGAGGCAGGTAATCTACCAGGCAACCAATTAATGGTGGAAAAAAGTCTATCTAGGATTTATTTTGTTATTGATAATTTGATAAAAGGTCTTCTTCGATTATTCTTGATAATTTGGGTATCATAATGGCTGGATCTTGCCATAGCTTTTCAATATTGTATCAGGCAAGCCTATAATTAAAGATATACACTCAAACCAGAAAACTTGGTTCCTATGGCACTGTTTATGAGACGCTGCTTAAAAAAGACAGACCACATTGTAGCTGGATCCACGATAAAAAATAAAAGTATTATGGAGACACTGAACTGTTGTACCTTACCTTCCAAAGCACAATAGAAATGAAAATAAGAAAGTGAGGCAACTGACTGCCAATTGTGAAAGCTTTCAAACTAAAGCATAAAATGGAAAAAAACAGTAAATGTCTCATTGAAACAAACAGTCGTTTGGAAGAAAAAAGTGATGACTAAATCCAAGAGCTTGTTACATTTAAAGTACAATTAATTCAAGCACAATTAACAAATTTTGACTTAAATAGGAAAAAAAACTCCAGTTTCCTATCATTGCTAAAGTTATTTAGTAATACTGCTTTAATATTTAATGAGCAAGTATTAAACAAGACTAGTCAATCTTTGCATATTGTATGGAATAGCATGGAACATTTTCACAGGTATTGGATTGAATAAGTCAGTTCCAAAATGAGAAATATTAAGATCCTGCCGCAGAAAAACAAACCGACAGCAATTTTCATAAGCATATTTTTAATTCAAATGTGAAAAAGATAACGACCACTATGGCAATATCCAGGTCAGAAATGCAGAAATCTGGAGATAATACACTGTCAAGGGAGAGTGACCAAACAACAAGACCAATAACAGAACAATCTCTTATTTCACAGCAATGCTCCAGAAGCTCCTATCACCAATGGCAGGGCTACACACATCTAGAAGCAGGAGTGAGCACATCAACTACTGCAGTCTCAGACTGGTCATAGGCTCACTGCACCAAGAACAAAGCAGAAACCCAGAATAGCTACACAACCGAGCCGACTATAGTGAGCACAAAACAATGAAGACACAATGATTTCAATTTAAAATTTGGAAAACCAAATGCCAATGCTAAAATTCCTTTTAAAATGAGTAAACTGAAAAAAACTAAGAACAAAAAAGCAAATCAGAGTGGCAAGTCAAGTATAGTGCCTACTCTGAGAAATAGAAATGGAAACCCCACAAGTTTTTATGTTTTCATTTATTTACTGTCTGTAACAAATCGTGAATGGGCACTTGATTTTGTTATAGAACCAACTTTCAGATGGGTTAGGGGCATGAATACATTAAGAGTCAACTCTTTGAATATACTGTATCTTCAGGACTTAAAAGCATTAAGTTGTGCATGTTTATGAATCGGCCATGAAGAAACTGGAGATAAAAAACTACTGTGCTAAAACAATGCCCTCAAGAAAATGTAATACTGAAAGCTTGAGAAAATGAGGCAAATATTGTTTTAGACTACAGAATTCTGAGTATCTAAGAAATCCTCTGAAATCAGATAAACCAATAAAATACAGAACAAATAAGTGTATACTGTGTTTGTGAAGTTTAAAAGCATTATGAAACAGTCTCTATAATGGTATTTTAGTCATGACATCTAACAGAAAGCATCATAAACAGTATGCGAGAGGTCTTAATAAGTTAATAAAGTTGTAAGTAGATACACATGTGATGTAAGTGTATCTGAAGATGTCCTCAATAAAATCAGTGACACATGTTAACAAAAAATGGGCATCAAGGAGATTCCCAAGTGACTTAACCAATATAGACACTCAATTCCAAACACACTGAGACACTGTATATTAAGTAGGCATCATAACCGACTGCTCATAATTGTGAACCAGAATCCCCCGGAGCATTTGCACAATTGACAAAGTGCTGTTGGAGGTCAGGTTAGAATTAGTCACTCCTGTAGCTTCAGAGTGACACACATTCCAACAGTGAAATCAGTTAGAAACACACTACTTCTC